ACACAAGGAGGCAACAAGAGAGTAACTCAGAAAATAACCACTGCTAGAAAACAACTACAAATACATAAACTATTTAAAATAAACATAAAATAAACTTAAACAGAGGGCAGAACCCTGACAAACAATAAATTAAATTGTCTAATATTAGTACATTTCAATCTAATTTTTTAGAGTAATTTTGAAGAAGCTTCTAACTTTCAGAAACCACCCGATGTACTGATGTGTAGAACCACCTGCTAACTATAATCTAAATGACTAAAATGATGACAAACACTGGACTTTAACAGCCGGTCCAGGAGACCAATCTTGGGAAAGAGACTAACGAGCCTTAGTGAGTAAGCTATAGTTGTCACGATTTTATCTAAAGCTCGGACCCACATGCAGAGAAACCAATTCAGAGAGACACAGGGGAAAGGTTTAACAGGTTTATTGAAGAGATAAGGCACGGTGCGGAGTTGCTCCAAACTCAGCTCGACCAGAACTGGAAGGCGAAGGGAAGACAAACGATTAGTTCAGGCTTAGTGGGAAATTTCATTCGTGGATTTGGAGAAGAGGATCTGGTTGTTGACTCACGTTTCCAGAGAAGTTGTAGAGTCTTTGACTCCAATCTGTGTCCTGTTTTCCAGTGTTATTCTGGTTCGGTGGAGGGTGGAACAGGGTTTACCCAGAACTCGGATGGTTGTTGGTGAACTGAGAAACTGACTGCCACTCAGATTTCCTGCTGTAATTGAACGGGGTGTAGTGGAGATGATTCCCTTGCTCAGAGAGTAAACTCAACGTCCTGTCAAGGAAACTGGATCCAAACCTCCAGTTTGAACCCCAAGCTCGGTTTGAGGCTCAGTAGATTCCTCCAGGGAGAGAAGGTCCGAAAAAGGTCCAGTTTGCAGGATGACTTCCTGCCGAGAGGCAAAGACAAAAACGAAGTTAAAACTCAGGTAGACAAGAACTCAGTCTTACTCAGCTAAACCCGGCTTGGCTAGAGTACCAAAGACTGGCAAACACTCTGGCGTCGAGGTAGTGGCAATCAGCAGCTTAAGAACACTCCGTTAACGAGGTAACCATCATCAGGTGTGTGAGGAGGCAGACCAGAACCAGGCGCCTCCTGCTGGTGGAAGGGAGAACAACACAAAAAACAAACACACAGACTGGAGTCCTGACAATAGTATAGTCAGTTATAATCATTTTACAAATTATCATTCATTGGTTTTACCCTTAATTTGAATGACCTATTAACTATAGCTGCCAGTTTTAGTTATTCAATATATTCATAATTTGCTAGTAAAATTGCACAACATGTCCAACTTGGTACAAAGTGTTGAAATCCGTAATATTAAAACCCCAACACTTGTCCTGATATAATTCATTTAAACATTACTGTAAGGTAGAGTAAGATGTTATAGCACTGGTAGGTTACAGTTACAAATCATATGATGTTTGAGACCTGAACTTCTTTTT